TAAATTGTTAAGAGTCTATAAATGAAAATTATTATGAGTCTACAAATGTAAATGGTTAAGAGTCTACAAATGTAAATTGTTATAAATCCATAAATGTAAATTGTTATGAAGCTACAAATGTAAATACTTAAGAGTTTATAAATTATTAAGAATCTAAATGTAAAGTTTGCTTAGAAGTTCAGAGACAGCTCCAGAAAATTACTGATTTAAAAATATACGATTCCAGGGACTGATCTACTGCATATTCCTCTTCATAGCAATGGAGGAGCCAAATCTGATGACCCAGTACGGCATCTGTTTCCAGCCACTTTGTGTAGCTAGCATATTTCTCGGAATATATGGACTGACCATCGCCATGAAGAGTCTTCAAGAAGTCGCTCCAGGTAAAAATCATGCATGCTTAATTGAGAAGAAGGACCTCGCATAATCTGCCCTGTCTGCGCTCTTCTGTAACAAATTATTCAAACACGCGATCACGAGGTAGTTGCTGCTTTAAAATCAAGAAGGTTGCTACTTTAAAATGTAGAAGGTTACTCCTTAAAATCTGGAAGTTTGCTACTTCAAAATCGGGGAGGTTGCTACTTTAAAATCTGGAAGGTTGCTACTTCAAAATCTGGAAGTTTACTACTTCAAAATGTAGAAGGTTATTCTTTAAAATCTAGATGGTTGCTACTCCAAAATCTGGAAGTTTGCTACTTCAAAATCTGGAAGTTTGCTACTTCAAAATCTGGAAGTCTACTACTTCAAAATGTAGAAGGTTATTCTTTAAAATCTAGTTGGTTGCTACTCCAAAATCTGGAAGTTTGCTACTTTAAAACCTAGAAGATTACTCCTTAAAATTTAGAAGCTTGCTATTTCAAAGTCTAAAAGGTTGCAACCTCAAAATCGAACTGGTGAGGAAAACAATTGAACCCCAGCACTCTTCTGGTCAATTATCTCCGGACCGCACAACGACAGGAAGCAATTTTCTGAGGTCCCGAAAAGTCTATTGTGACCCAGTGTTAATGGACTCTGACCTGCTCATTTTTACAGAGGCGAAACTGCATAGAAACACCATGGTCTCCCAGATGGTGCTGCTGTTTTCGAAGCTGCAGTCGTTCATTGTCAAGAGTCTGCCTCAGACGGGACTCTTTCCGTGCAATCCACCGATTACACCGGAAATCTATGCCAGCGGTAATACTCCTCAATAATAAATTCTTAAGTAGGCATGCTGAGGTTTTTCGAATGCTTTGTATTCGTGGTTTACAATTTAGAAATTTGCAAAGGAAACACGTTTATTCAAGTACCTTTTCGCTATTACATAAGTGAGAAATTACGATGTTAAACCTATAAGTGGCAACGTGTGGAACGAGGTACTTAGGGATGTATACTATAATCTGAGATCATAGATTCCTTGAAATGTATAGCCATCAGAGTTAATAACAAGTCATTACAGCTGGGGTACGAAATATTTGCATATGGCCCTGTAATTATCGTTCAATGAACCTTTCTCCTCTTCGTGCCTCGATCTTCACCATCTCGGTTTATCACAAAAATAAGTTTTCCGTGTTTCACAGAGGTTTCCTCTACCTCTGTCAATTTCTAGCCTAACCAATTTCAACCTAAGTTTTGAAAATTTGAATACTTTGAAAATTACTTAAAATTCGACCTGAGCTTTCGAATCCTCGATCCGAACCCCGGTTTATCACAAAAATAAGTTTTCCATGTTTCACACAGAGGTTTCCTCTACCTCTGTCAATTTCTAGCCTAACCAATTTCAACCTAAATTTTGAAAATTTGAATGCTTTGAAAATTACTTAAAATTCGACCTACGCTTTCGAATCCTCGATCCGAACCCCGGTTTATCACAAAAATAAGTTTTCCATGTTTCACACAGAGATTTCCTCTACCTCCGTCAATTTCTAGCCTAACCAATTTCAAGTTTTGAAAATTTGAAAGCTTTAAAAATTGTTAAAATTCGACCTAAGCTCTCGAATAGATTTCTTGGTAAATTGATTTCCATATACGAGATGAGATAAAGCACTGTTCCGTCCGATTTCAGTTACCCAAAACGCGCTGATGTTAATCGAGATGCTGTTGCTCTGCTACGCGGCGAGGTACGTTTATTACGTGGACGTGGACAAGGAGAAAGAGCCGACGGTCGAGGCTACAGATCGGTCGAAAGACAAGCCGGAGCAAGTGAACTCGTCGAATAACAACGAAGCTAACAAACAAACTTCAACGTTCACCGCGTGAGATCTCAACTTCCTCGGTTAGACTACGATCTCTTTGTTAATTCGCGGATACTCGTTAGATATTAAGCTTTTGATGATACGTTAGATATTAAGTAAGTGTTAGAATGAATGAAATGAGTGAGGGTTCAAGACTTTTTTACTGAAGCACATTGGTGCTGTCCTTTGAGGATCTGTTAAACGAAAACTGTTAAATAAAGCGTGTGTACGTTTTGTGTACAATTTTGTAATTTATCAGCTTCTCAGAAAGTTGCAGTTGCAGTTTGTTAAAAAGTTTCTCAGTAGAAGTTGAGGAAAATTAAATCAAAGAGAGAAAAGTAATCAAAATTTGATGGCGAAGAACGTTTATTTATTAAAGAAATCTTAAATGCTACAACAAAATAATTTCCATCATTGTCCAACACTTTTTGCCAACGTAAAGACAATTGTTCGATTCCTTTTTTAAGCAAAATACTTGCTGAGACTTAAAAAAGTCCTCCGATTTTTCATAGAAAAACTTTAAAGTCAACGAAGAAATAAATACATGAAGAAATGAAATGAAATTTCAGTAGCCCTAATATATTCAGAAAAGCTCGGATTCAGATTACTGATGAATTTAAATAGCGCATCGGAGCAATCGCACTTTCCTGCCACGCATTGAGATCTCCGGTGCGGAAGTAACTATGAAACCAGCCACACGCAGCCGTCACAACGCATTATCGCGTGTCACGGCTGACTGACAAATCACAGTGGATGCTCAAATGACTTGCAGGCACTCTTTCGAAACGTACTCAAGCAATAGTGGGCGATCTAAATGTGACGATCATTAAGAAAAGTATGGGTCTTTTAACTCTAACGTAATTATGACGCCTACGTGGTGAAACATTTCGGTGTTTCAAGCTGAGAAAAATAGGACGAAAGATTGAAATTCATTGAACGCAAGCAGGTTTTTCGATTCCCTGTTTTATTATATCGGTACTTGTATTGTTCGTAGTGGATATAGCCCACATACGATGTTGACACACGTGCAGCTGGAAATTCGGATGCAAAGGTAGCCAGGAAGACGTTAAGTCAAAAAATCAACATCAAAGGAGGGTACGCTTAAAAAGGCCTTTACCAATTCTTTGACGCAGATGCCCAACGCTGCATGACTTCACCTTTTCACGGCGGGAAATACTTTCAGTCAAAACCATGCAAAACTTTGTATGAAAAACTACACAACTTTGTATGAAAAACTATATAACATTATAACTTTGTATGAGGAGCTATAAAACTTTGTAACCATCGAGGTACAAATTGAAGACCGAAGCGAACTCAATCCGTCGATGATGCACTTTAGATAACGTTAATCTTAATTGACACCATCAGCTACAATGTGAAAGAGCAGTCATCCAGATTTAAGACTGCACAACAGAAAGCTGCAAACAGGTTTCGAGTGTCGGAGCCCGAGTAACCCGGGCGATCTTAATTAAATCAGACGCTTGCATGGGCTTGCGAGATCTCATAACAGGATTGCAGTTTCATTCCTATTAACACGACTCAGAATTGCACTGTATTGGTAACAATTCCTCAATTTATTCATCATTAATTAATATACTTTTCGAGAAAGATTCAAAGACATTTTGTACGCTTAACACGTTTTATAGATGCAGGGTCAAAGATGCGAGGTCAAAGACGCAAGGTCAAAGCGTAAGGGAAGTCTAAGGCCATATTGTTAACAATTTTACAATTTATTCATCATTAATTAATATACTTTTGGAGAAACATTCAAGAGCATTTTCCACGCTGAAGACATTTTATAGATGCAAGGTCAAAGATGCAAGGTCAAAGCACAAGGGAAGTCTTCCGCCATATTGTTAACAATTTTACAATTTATTCATCATTAATTAATATACTGTTGGAGAAACATTCAAAGGCATTTTGTACGCTGAACACGTTTTATAGATGCAAGGTCAAGGGAACCTTGAGGAATAATAAAGAAGGGAAGTTTTCGTAGAACGTTATCTGGCGAACGTTCATCTCGGGGTCAGCAAAACAAAGACGGTTAATATGTCGGGACACGTTATCGGAATATTAATATCCTGCCCTTCTGCAGGATCCGAAGCCACCCTGGTGACGATCGATCGCTCGACGTGGAAACACGGAACGAGAAAAATCGCCGCGTCCCTTCGAATGTAAGGAGACACTTCCTGATGCTCGTCGGTGATAATTCTTCCGAACGTCGTCGCTCGCCGGAACATCGACGTCTTCGAATTTCAAACTCTGTCTTGCCAGACCTTTTATTTTCACTACGTAATCCGCTCGATTGCAGACATTGCAACCCTCTTCATTTTTTAAGAGGATTTTTTTAAATCCACAATTTTTATTCAGGCACTTCATTTTTTTAATACAGGGCGCCTCGTAATTGGTGCTAGTGGAAGGGGGTTGCAGACGTGAGTTTGAACAACTTTTTCTTTTATGAAAATAGGGTTTGAAGCTCATTATTAAATATACAAAAATAAAATCGGTGTTAAAATAGTATTATACAGGGAGCTTCATGACTGGTGTAGGAAAGGGGCTGCAGATGTGATTCTGAACAACTTTTTCTTTTATGAAAATAGAGTTTGAAGCTTCATTATTGAATATACAAAAATAAAATCGGTGTTAAAATAGTATTATACAGGGAGTTTCATGACTGGTGTAGAAAAGGGGCTGCAGATGTGATTCTGAACAACTTTTTCCTTTATAAAAATAGAGTTTGAAGCTTCGTTTTTAATACAGAAGCAAATTTTTGATATGATCGTATTATACAGAGTGTCTCACAACTGGTGCTCCTAGAAAGGGTAGTTGACGTGATTTTAAACAACTTTCTCCTTTGCGAAAATAAGGTTTGAAGTTCTTAATAATTCAGAAATAAAATTTATGCTATGATCGTATTATACAGGGTGTTTCATAACTGGTGTAGTTAAGGGTTGTAGTTGACGTGATACTAAACAAGTTTTTCCTTTATAAAAATAAGGTTTGAAGCTTCGTTCTTATTAATACAAAAGCAAAATTATTTTATATGATTGTGTTATACAGGATGTTTCACAAGCAGTGTAATATAGAAAATGTAACCTTCTGTCGTTTTTGAAATATTACAGAAAAACCATGCTTCAAAGCTAATTCTTTAACAACTACCTTCTCTACACCACTATTGAAACACCCTATACCATCACATCAAATATTTATATGTTTGAAAATTTCTTCTAAATTTCTTCTAAGCTAAATTTCTTCCACTGTACGAATTCGAATAAAAAAATACCTGCAAGTTCCAACTAAGATTAAAATTACAAAAATGGTTCAGTAATCTCGCAGATCGAGGACAACTGCGCAAGATAGGACGTTACACGCTCCTGAAAGTATATTGCGTGGTCCTTCATTTTTTGAGCGATTTGAGGGTCCGTTGCCTACCTGCAACCTGGCCCAACGAGACTACAAAACCTTCTCCATCCCTCTCTCTAACCTCTTCTCCCTTCTGCAGTTGTATCGACTCTCCTTTCTTCCTTTTCATCGTAGACCTTTTTCCTTGGAACCGTGATCACGATCAAGCTTCGAACGCGTAATAGATTTAACAGTTTCTTTCGGCCCACGGTGGTTTCGAGATCGGTTTAACGGGTGAAAAAAATAACGCACCCCGATTGTGTGAACCTGGACCTTTTCGGCTACCCTTCACTACGATTTTTTATTCACGTGTGTCATATTTTTTCTTTGGTATGAAGTATGGTAACTTGATAGCTAGTTGATGGAATTTTTTTACTTGATAGAATTTTGGTACTTGATAGAATTTTGGTACTTGATAGAATTTTGGTACTTGATAGAATTTTGGTACTTGATGGAATTTTTTTATTTGATAGAATTTTGTTGTTTGATAGAAATTTATTAGTTGATAGAATTTTACTACGTAGTCATTTTGTTTGCATGGTGAATTTTCATATAAATTGACAAAATTATAATTCATTTATTGCAACTTGACCCATTCTGTTACCCATAATGTTACGTTGTACATAGAATTTTATTCAAGTTCTCAAAGGAGGAACCTCCCCTTATTTCAACCTAACCATATTATTAAATTTACATCAATAACGAAATCCATTTTAGAATGCTTCGAAGCTAAGACCAAAACCTTGAAATAGACCCAAATCACGTGAATTCTGTTTCCGCAAAAATTACCCCGAAATAAAGGACATCAGGTTTAGGAATCACGGCGTCGTAATTCCCAAATAGTTGATTGGTAATCTCGGAGCTAATTAAGGCAGCCGACTCGGATCCAGCGTCCAAATTGTTTTCTATGCCGGCTCTTCCCTCTGTCCCGACTAGATAGCCTTGGGGATCTTTTTTGCCAGGGGAGGCTGGCAAAAAAAACAACGCGAAAAGATATTTCGCGACCTAATGAGCCGGTTTAGCGACTCTTAACGTAATTATCTTTATGATTTATAAGAAACGTTCACTCGTTATCTGGACATCGCGTAATTTATGGATCCCCAAAAAGCGTCTAATATTTTTTCACGGTCTTTAGAGTAACAATGTGTTCCCCTAATAATGAATACATTATCGTTGCAATTTTTTCACTTGTCTGAATTTTTACTTGTCAAAAATTTTACTTGTCAAAAATTTTAAGTATAATTAATAATTTTAAGTCCAATAAAAAATTTTAAGTTGTATTCTATTTAACATTGCAAATTACAGTACAGTCTTCCCTCTTCAAAAGCACAGTTTCTTCAGTTTTAAAAATAATTTATTAAAATGGCTGTAGTAGTTTTCAGTCTTCAAAAGCACAGTTTCTTTAGTTTTAAAAATAATTTATTAAAATGGCTGTAGTAGTCTTCAGTCTTCAAAAGCACAATTTCTTCAGTTTCAAAAATGATTAAAACGGCTGTTAGAAGAACCTTGCCTATCTATTGTTCCTCCGGTAATTCGTAGAGCAAACAAAGCGTCCCTAATTTCTGAATTCCGACGGATCCACCAGGTCTAATTTAACTTATTATTGTCTGGAGCAACAATACGGTATTGTTTGCAGAGGAACCTGAAAATCATTACAAAAACCCGTTTGTTTTCTTTAGTCTAAGCCGACTGCCCTAAAACTCCCATAAACACTTGCAGTAAAAAGGGCTACCCTCGAATCGACGCTTTCTTGGCTGCCGCGCTGTGATCACGTTAATGACCCATAATAACCGAGGCAAAAAATTGTCGCAAGTAGGCACTTGTCCAAGAGCTCGACACCTAACGAACACCGACATGTCTCGTGGAAAGAAAGGAAACGTTATTTTTGGATATATCAATGGAAGCGATATTTCGAGGCGATTCAGCTGCAGGAAATTCGACGTGGATTTCTTGAAGAGCACGCGTGG